GCAGTTAAAGAAATAATTGATATTAAAGTGTTGCTGACATACTACCTACATACCTACATTTAAAAAAATCAAAGTTGGTTTCAGTCTTATAATAAATTTTTTAACTTAATATTTATAATAATTTTTAATGACAGTGTAGTTTTCCACTTAATATAGAACTTTTAGTTTTTAATCTTTCCCTCAAAGCAATACTACAATGAATAGTACTTTTAAGTATTTTGTGTAGTTCAAATTTTTTCATATCACTTTTAAATTTAATAATGGGCTTGGAAAGAATATGTATTTTTAAATTACCATCCCAGAAAATGCTATAGTGAAGCATCTTTATCAGCATATGCCTTTGTTCATTTCCCAGCATCCTTTGCTCTCCAGACTACCTCGTTTTTGAAGTGACCAGACAGTTCTCATTTCAGATTTCCTGAAATGACAATATTGCCAGATATAGAAATTTATCGTTGCTTTAATTCATTCTTAGAAATAAACCTTCTCCATTAAACTTTAACTCCAGATCCCGTCTTATTCAGGGTGGCTGGCTTTGGCCTTGTCTTGTAGTAAAAGAATACGATCACTATCCTTTTATGCTTCAGAATTGATGAACTTTTTCACAGAACAAAACTTTTGGTAGTTCTTTCTGTTAATTGTTAAGAAATTTAGGTCAAGTGATTTCCTTTCTCCCAATGTGAGTGTTTCTCAATCTGAAAATTTGGAAGATTTATTTTAAAGATTTTTTTTTAATTCAGTGAAATAAACCAGCATTTAACATAATTTCTACTTAGTACAACTTTTTGAAAGGTGTAAGAAAGAAAAACATCTCTCAGCAGTAAAACTTTAGGAATTCTAGAACACTTGTGTGAAAAATTAAACTTGTGTCAGTTTTTATTAGTTCAAGCAGTATATCATGGGTAATTTTTATCTTACCAGATAATTACATTTTCATTTAATTAGGTTACCTTTGAATAAAATTATCCTGTTAGTATCTGCAGCATGTGATTTATTATAAAATAAAAAACAAATGCTATCTTCATATTTGGGGAATAAGCAGATAGAGAAGACTGATTCAGATGCTTCTTGTAACCTTCTAAGTAAATATGAAAACTAGGAACTCAGTAACTTGAAAAACAAACAGCTAGTTTTCCTGTATCATGAAAAGAATGTAACCTTCCTCCATGTAAATTTTGTCTAAGTTATCACTAGTGTTGGAATCAAGTACTGAAAGAAGACAGTATGCAAACCAGCACTTAAAAACCTCATGAATAGAGGATTCTGTCTTCATGAAAATCACTTTTAAGCTCTGGAGGTATAAATTCTTTAGTTTCATAGGTTTTAAGAAAACAATGTTGATTTTGACAAGATTTGTAGAATACTGAATCTTAATAATAAAATTTAGCATTTTTAATAGTTTTCATTAAAATGAAAGAAGTAATAATTTAAAAGTAAATGTAGGCATTTCACTTGCCATTTAGATTATGAATGTGTGGCTTGTATTTTTTGTGTTTGGCTTGTATTTTTTTAAAATAAAAATATCTATAAAGATAAATAGTGAATTAGAATATATTTGAAAAATACCATTTCAATCCTAGACAGCACTTTGGCATATACAGCCCATAGCTTCTGAAATTTACTTTTATTTATTTTGAGCTTGAGATATCATATATATCTATTTTGATGATTATCTAAAATAGCAATTGGAAGAGGCTCCAGAGTACTGTAATAATCTTGCCAACTTCATTCGGTTACAACTTCCCCTCCCCCCATAATAAATTCTCTTCAGTGTCATCTGCTTTATGGCAGAGTAAATAAAACGATCAAATTGCCAAGATGATAAACCTAATTTGCTTACACCTGAGAGAAATTTGTTTTGTGAAATGTAATACTTATTAAATCATTATATTCCTGAGTTTTCTGCAAAGTTCAGTTTTGCTGTCCTGAAAATATATTAGAGGGAGTTGGAACACTTTCTTAGCATTTTATTGGGAGACTTAGCCAATAAAGAGAAAGTGACATGAAATCTGGCGTTCTGCTGTGTGTGTGTCCTTGAGCTCCAAGCAAGAAGGAAAGAAGCGTGGGGGGGGGGGGGGGTGGGTGCAGAGGGGGACAGGATCGCCTTTTGTTCTTTGCAGCTTCTCCTGGAAAAAGTCATGGCCACTCCCAGCTTGTTCTGTTTCATTTAGTCCCTTCTCCATATCCTTGGGTCCTAAGGGGCTTTTTCCGTGAAGAAATCAGTGTTGAGGTCTTCCTGTTCATTTAGATTATCTAAGCATTCTGATCTGTACTTAATACTGAACTTTTTATTGGACCCATAATAGCTAATACAGCCGAGCATGTGAAATTTACTATATTTTGTATTGATTTAATATTAATGTTAATCTAAAATCTTTAGGTGCAGTGTGTCACATCTGTTTTGTATTCCTCTGTTTAAAAGAAGTGGCAGTATGGTATTTGGAGGAATATTTATTATCTGAGTGTTTTTCTTTGCAACAGTTTCTCTCAGTCTACTGAGAGTTATAACTTCTAAAAGACAGTGAATCACCCAGCAAGTTCTCAGGTACTGACTGTTTAAGATCCTGGTTAATTGGAATTTCTATGTATCATATAAGTTCTCTTTGTTTAAATAGAGGTAATTTTGGAGGCTTCTGGAAATGATAGAAAATAAATTTGTGTTAAGATTTTTTTTTTATATTCTTTTCTTTTTTCTTAATTACTGATCCGTTCTGCACTCACAGGTACTCTGGATTTTTAGAAAGACCTTGATTAGACTGGGCATTGATTATGTCTGAAGCCAAATTTTCCATGACTTAAAACTGAATATTCATAACTAGTGGTGATGTTTCTTAACTTTTTTTTGAGTGATCCTGAATATTTTAAAATTAATTAATAAAAACTATAAACCCCTTTCCTAAGAAAAATACGTAGACACAAATATTTTGCATCATTTTAATTAATTTTGACTCTCCCTGCCCAGAAGTCTAGGAACCCCAGATTAGGAAGTGCTATTGTAATGGAACTGGAAAATCCCTGCTAGTATGTTGGTTTAATATCATATTATGTTGCGCAAATAATTTTCTTCACTTCAAACTTTATTTGACCTTGTGTTTTCTCCGTGGTCATTGACTAGAGGAAGAGAAACATAACCTAAATCTTATTTTGGAGAAAAAGCTCTTAATTTTCCAGTCTCTGAAATTAAAGAGTGTGTTTTACCTTCTATCTGTTAGAAGTTCTACCTTGGATATGAAATTCTCTTTACCTTTTGATTAAAAGTGAAAGCAAGGAAAGAAATGAAATCTTACGAATCTCTTTCTTATTTAAGAAAGTATTTCTTCCTTAAAAAGACATTACATTTCTTATTCACAAAAGTACTATCTTTTATTTTAATGAGGCTTTGTGAAGTTATTCTAAAGTTACTTGTGTTGGCTTAAAAACATAAGACTTTGGAATCAAATGGTTCAAGTCCGATTTAGTTGCTGGTCAGCTGTATGACTTTGGTTACATTATTTACCTGTTACAAAAAGATTAAATGAGTGAACTCTGTAAAGGGCTTGTGGCTCTGTATAATGTGCACTTAATGACTTCTTCCTCTGTCATGCTCATGGTATTCAGGAGCAACCTTGCTTTTCAGTTACAGAGTGTTCAATTTTTTTTTTTTTATGAAATTTAGGACAGTCGATCCTCGTGTTCCACAAAGGAATTTCTAGTCTCAGTGGTATGTAGTTGCCAAACATTAGTCAAGAGTTCTTCAAACACAGGAGTAGCAAACTCAGCTTCTCTCATTTTATTCTTCTATTCGTTTTTGTTTGCGGGCCACACCATGCTTAGTGCTCCAGGGAGTCATTCCTGGTGATGCTCAGTGTACCAGGCAGAGCTGGGGTTCAAGCCCAGTTCTCCCCATGCAAGCTGTGCCATTCATTGAGCTTTCTCCCTGTCTTAATCGTCTTCCTTGTTTCCTTCCCTTAATCTGAATCTCATGTGTGCCTGCACGTTGCTGTTGAGTTACGTCCCTGACCATATTTTGCTGATTGATTTTCAATGGACAGTGCGTTCAAATTTATTGACAAAATGTATGGTTGAAGCACATAGTGAGAACCAGGGAAAGACTGAGATTTCTAAAAGTAGATTAAAAATTAAGTGCTAAAGATATTCCTGCTTTAGAATTGTCACCTCGTTAGTGGTTGTGTAGTAGAAAATGGCAGGCCTCGCAAGTAGAGTGAAAGGTGTGTCTTCACATATGTCATAAAGAAAACATATAACCTGTAAAAATACTTAATATACCATAAATGCCCACTACCATGCAAATACCAATGAGAAGAATGTGTGAAGTATTTGGAGCCAAAGGAGAAAGAAAGATGATGATGTATGTGATCCTTCGGTTAAATGATGACATTTAGTGATTTCTGACACCTCTGTGAATGAAAGACCTGTTGATTCTACAGTTCACTTTCAGAGCCTCCTTAAAAGAAGTGGGAGATGAAGCCTGCTCCCTCCTTTTTTATGCTGTGATTGTTGGTTTTCACGAGGTAATAATAGTAATGGCAGTGTTTGAGGCAGTGGTATTTAGTGTTGGTATATAGATCCTGACATGCACATATCCTCACACTTATCAATGTGCCTTTCAAAATGCTGTGGCCTAATTTAGAATGGAGTTTTGCATGCCAATCAAAAAAAGATATCACAAGAGAAGCTGAAAAAGTATCTGAAAAAATTGAGGTTGGCATCTTGAGAGAGTAGCCGTTGTTTTCAGCTCTACAGATCTCTTACTGTTGTCTCAGAATACAGCTAATTGGATTCTAGCAAATTGAACATCTAGCAAATGCCTTCCTTTGTGATAGAAGAAGCATCACTTAATTACTCAATGTTAATGAAAAATTAAGTGCTGTAGGTATCATTGAGATATAAAGAGACCGTTTGATTTACCTTGCTTTTTTTTTCTTTTTAGTTTCATGATTGAATTTCTGTGTTCCAGCATCAACTTTGGAAAGTGATATTTCCCCCTTTCTGTCTTTCAGTATCGTCAGTGAAGCTGGAGCATCAATCTACAGTGTTAGCCCTGAAGCTAACAAAGAGATGCCAGGGCTGGACCCTAATTTGAGAAGTGCAGGTAAGAAAATCAGTATCAGCACAAGATTATGTGAATTTTCTGTTTGTCTTTGAGCCATACCCAGCACACAGAGGTGCCCAGGGATCACTCCTGGCAGGGCACAGGAGACTACATGGGGTGCCAGGGGGTGGACCCAGATTTACCAGCCAGGAAACTAGTATCTTTCTGGCCCAAGAGCGTGGTTTTAATAATTTGGATTTGTAGGCTTGTATTTTTAATAACCCAAATATTTTTAAAACATTTAGAATATTTAAAAAGAAAGTGGTGATTGGAATGATAATTGAAATTATAGAAGAGAAAGTACGTTATTTTTAAACAACACTGAGTGATATTGTAAGGTAGAGTGAAAATTAGTCTCAGACATCTTTAGTAAAATTGACTGCTAGTTAATTAACAATGCAAGGGCTGGAGCGATAGCACAGCGGGTAGGGCGTTTGCCTTGCACGCGGCCAACCTGGTCGGCCCAGGTTCGATTCCTCTGCCCCCTTTCAGAGAGCCCAGCAAGCTACCGAGAGTATCTTGCCCGCACGGCAAAGCCTGGCAAGCTACCCAAGATGTATTCAATATGCCAAACACAGTAACAACAAGTCTCACAATGGAGACGTTACAGGGCTCACTCGAGCAAATCGATGAACAATGGGAGGACAGTGACAGTTAATAAAAAATTATATATTACTTTGAGATCTCTTTATTACCACAAGATGTTACTTATTATAGTTTTTGTTGGCAAAAAGGCATAAAAAGGTCATGTGAATATCTGAGTAGGCAAGCCCTAGCCTTACTGCTGAATATTTGTCAAATGACTATTTTTCTCTCTCAGCTAATAATGTTTATCACTTGGATGATATTTCAAATGGCCTACTTTGATTTTAGCTGTATTCATTTGCTCTGACTAGTTGCTAAGATATGGAATAATTAAAATTTTGTGAGTGAAAGAAATGAAAACTTCAGGGCATGTAGTGAAAGTAACTGCCATCGTAGCCAAACATTAGATCCAGTTGCAACATTTAGTTAGACTACATTGCTAGTAAATTTTTTTTCCTAATTTGTGTGTGTGTGTGTGTGTGTGTGTGTGTGTGTGTGTGTATGAGTTGGGGGAAGATGTGCCTGGGTATGATTGTGTTTGGGGCACCTGCCTGAAGTGTAATTGTTTGTTTGTGTGTGTGTGTGTGTGTGTGTGTGTGTGTAAGGCATTCTTAGGGTGTGTATGGGCATGGGCATGCCTGGGGTATGTGTGACTGTGCATACATGTGTACATGATATGTACATGTGTGAGTGTTTGGGCCCCACTGGGAGGTGCGAGGGAGTCCTACTGACTCTTGTGCTCCTGGCGTGGTGCTCAGGGACTGTATAGAGTGCTGGGGATCGAACTTGGCCACCCCATGCACAGCCTGCCCTTGCCTAGATACTTTTCTTTATAAAAACAAATCTATTGGAGCTAGAGAAATAGTACACCAGCTAGGGCGCTCGATTTGCTCACAGCCAACCTGAGTTCGATCCCTGGCATCCCTTAAGGTCCCCAGAGCACCGCCAGGAATAATTCTTGAAATAAAAAATTTTTGTTTTATTTCGTTTTGGGGTCACACCCAGCAATGCTCAGGACTTCTGGTGAGGCTCAGACAAGACTACAGACTTCAGACAAGATAGAAAATAATGAAAGAAGGATAGTGATATATGGTTCTACTTATTCTGATATCAAGATCTCCTTTAGCTCCCTGTTCCTTGTAGGTACGCCTCCCTTTGTGTTTTAGAGTATTTCTATGTGGCAATAATTATTTGCCTCATATCAACTCAGAACATCTACCATGACATTTGGATTTTTCAAAATCTTGTCATGGAAACAAGTATGGAAAGAACCTCAGAAGCTCCATGTTTGGTTTTCTAGAACCTACTTTAATTTTTGTTTTCTACCTGGGAGTCATTCTTTTCCTCATGATGACGTCAGTCATTTCAGTCTTTGTAATTGATGCCGCTGCATCAGAATAGGACAGAACGTCAACATTAGCACAGGTGTTAAATGGGGTGGTCTCTTACTGTATGTTCCTGACCAGCTTTCATCAGCTTATTGGAAAGAGTCTGTACCTGAGTTTCCCTATTACAGCCATGCTGTAATGAGAGACATTTAAACTGGATAGATTAACAGACACGTGATGTGATACCAAAATATTTATTATGATTCTGATTTATAATGATCAATTGCTTATATATCTGTTATTCCTTTAATTCTTTCTGACTCCTATTAAAGTTGGGGTGGGGAACATTCTTTCTACAAGGGCATTTGGATAATTTGGACATCGGTCAAGGGCCACCCCACTGAGGCAGCAGGAGAAGCATGCCTGTCTGTCTCCCCGGGTACTAGGTCCAGGCCAGAGCATTTCCCAAGTTTTCTCTGGACAGTCCGCATGCCTGCATTAAAGTGACAACATAGGGCCGAATGGAGCCGTGAACTCTCTAGATAAGGTCACTAAAACTGTAACAGCAACAATAGTTTTGATGCTGAAAATCAGACGTGAATGATCAGTTTTCTAGCCAGCTCAAAGAGCTGAGAGTTCTGTGCCAAACACGAATTAGGCTGAAACCTAACGTGACCCTGAGAGGCCCAGAAGTGCCAGGCACCTTCAGAAGCACCTCGAGGGCAGATCCCATGGAAGGAATTGATTTTTTTTTAAACAAGCTGCTGGACCAAGTTAAATATGGGAAACCATTTAAACTTGCAATTCCACTTCTAGACTGTACTCAGAAGAATTAAAAGTAAGCAAAGAAAAATTTGTATGCAAATACTTATAGCAGCTTGTTTCACAAGAAACAACCTAAATATTCATAAGAAACGGAACAAATACACAAAATATACTATACCATACAACAATGTTATTTTCAGTGATAAAAAAGGCGGAGGGAGGGCGGAAATACTGGTTCTTCAGAATGGATGGACATTGAGAACATGCTGCGTAAAAGAGACAAATACAAAAAGCAATATATTTTATGATGACCTTTATGTGGGATGTCCAGAACAAAACAAGGAAGCTGGCTGTAGGGTGTAGGGGTCAGGAAAGCAGGAAGATGGATAGGAACATTTAAAATGGTACAAGAATTTTTTTTTTTTGAGAGGTATTGGAAGTACCTAATATAGATGATGCTTTGCACAGCACTAACTAAAATAAATAAGATGGAATTGTGCTCTTTAGAATAGATGATCTTACATGATGTGAATTTCATAATTTTTTTTAAATGGGGGGTCTCCTATCCTTCTGAGGTGAGTAACTGGCCTTCTCCAGCCTTTCCAGAAGACTGGAGGTTCCTTCCCTGGAGAAAGCCAGACAGAAAGTTTTCACTCCGGGGGAGCAGATTATAAATGAGATTCAGGATACCATAAAAGCGAAAATAAATCATTACTGACCTGCTACTGAGGGGAGCCCCGTGGAAGGGTGTCATTAGAGATGAAATTTCCATGTGGGAGGGTCAGGGATTCTCAGCAGGACAAGAGAAAGGCCTTAGGGAAGCTGAGATCTGGGGCCCCACAGAGCTGGCTGGGAAATGGTGCCTCTGGGCGAAGTGCTCACAGCCTGCATTTGAGCCTCTGCTCCCCCCCACCCCCCCAAAAAGCACAGCCTCGGGCCTTCTGACTGGTGGGGAAGAGGTATTAAAATGGTGCGTTAGCAAGCTTTATAGTGGAAAAGTTCCAATTTGGAGTTGTTGAATGAAAATAGAAACAGTGCAGGGGAAATTTTTATTTATTTTCCTCGGACGATGTCTGGTGCAAGGGAAAAGGTGAAATAAATATTGAAGTTTAGAAAGAAAACATTGAAGTCAATTAATAAACAGACGTCCTCTTTGATAGTCCTAGATAGCAGAATAAGACCCATTTTAAACAGAAAACCATTTATTTTTTGTCTTTTAAGTAATATGTGTACTGGCTCTCAAGCTTTCACAGTTCTGAGGGTCATGGACTCAGTGGTAGAACACTGGCCTTGGGTTTATGGATTCAGGGTTCGATTCCCAGCACTGCCCACCTATCCGCTCCACCCCAGCCCCAAAGGAAAAGTAATTTTTTTTCTTAAACAGAAAATATAGAAGCTTTATCATTTTGAAGATTTTATAGAACTGAGTGTCAAAACCTATAAAATTCTCTATATATTTGTGGGGAGTGGGGAGGATGTTGGACCACACCTGGCAGTGCTCAGGGAACATATGCAGTGCCGGGGGATCAGACCCCAGTCGGCTGCATGTACGCAGGTGCCTGAGCCACTGTGCGCTCACTCTAGCCCCATCTTCTGTGCTGGGGCTCTAACCTTGCTACATGTAGCTCTGCAAGTTTTTCACCGGACACAAGGCCTCCTTCACAAGAGGGGCTGCTCTAGGCATTTGCCTCTTTGGGTGATTGTCTCTCTTTTTTTTTTCTTTTTTAATATTTATTTATTTTGGCTTTTTGGGTCACATCCAGTGATGCCCAGGGGTTACTCCTGGCTCTCCACTCAGGAATTACTCCTGGCGGTGCTCGGGGGACCATTATGGGATGCCGGGGATAGAACCCTGGTCGCCCATGTGCAAGGCAAATGCCCTTCCCGCTGTCCTGACACTCCGGCCCCTGGGTGGTTGTCTTTTTCTCAACTCCCCTGCTCACTTTTAGTTTATCTGACCATGATTATTTTTCTGTAATACTTAACTGTTCCCCTCAATATTATTTGCTTTTCAAAATAGTTAACATCATTATCTGGTAAATTATTATGTTTTAAAAATTAAATTTCTGTTTCTGCTTCTTCTTGTTTTCATTATTCTAAGCTCCCCTGACACAAAACTTTCAGTTCCTGTGATTTGTAATATGACTTGGTTTAATTTTTTGAAATTAGTTCTCCTATACATTTCTGTCTGTATGAATTTTAGATCCATTGATATTTAAAATTTTATTTGGATTATTGAGTGAAATTCTCTTAAATTTATACCATCAGGTTCCATTTTTCTTATTATTCCATTTTTCTGTCAAAGACAACATACACATAATAGGTTCTTGTTTATGGTATTTTCTTTTCGGGAGTGGGGGAGACACTCAGCAGTGCTCGGAGGCTGCTCCTGCTCTGTGCTCACAGATCACTTCTGGCAGTGCTTGAGGGACCATATATGATGCCGGGGATCAGACATGGCCTTGACTTTGTGCAAGCAAGACAAGATCTTAGCCCCTGTACTCTCTCCAGTCTTTGTGATATTTTCTGATTGGTGTTTGGTGGCATAGGTACCAATTTTTGTGCTGGTGTTTGAAACCAGCAAACTCTTAGAATCTTATTAATTCTTTCTTTCTTTTTTGCTTTTTTGCTTTTTTTTGGGGGGGGGTAGTGGGTAGTGTCACACACGGCTATGTTCAGGGGTTACTCCTGGCTCTGCACTCAGGAATAACTCCTGGCGGTACTCAAGGGACCATATGGAATGCCAGGGATCAAACCCAGGTTGGCCTCATGGAAGTCAAACACCCTCTCCGCTGTGCTATCGCTCCAGATCATAGAATCTTATTAATTCTGATATTTCTCAGTTGTCTTGCTTCGGTTTTATAGGTAAACATCCATCTTTCATTAATAATAATCTACTTTCTGTCCTTCCGGTAATTACCCTTTTTTTCTTGTCCAAATGCATTGAATAGAAATCTCCACCGATTGGCAGTAGTATCCATGATACAGAGAAGTAGTGGGCCTGTTGTGTGCAAAATTGACAATATTTGCCATATCTTTGGGCATTCTTCACTTTATTTGTTTTTATTTTCATTATTGGGGAGGTTGGATCACACCCAGTGCAACTAAGGGACTGCATCCGTCTCTGCACAGGGATCATCCCTGGAGGTGCTTACTTGGCCACAGGTGACGCTGGGGTTGACTGCACACACACAAGGAAAACACCTCATCCCCTGTACTGTCTCTGGCCCCCACATTATTCATTTTTGAAATATGTATCAGCTTTACTGGTGTGTGATTTAACGGTGTAAAATTTACCCGTCACATAATGTGGCTATTTTGTAGTGTCATCACAGTCAGAACTGTACAGTTATTCCTACTCTCCAAATTTAGAATAATTTTGTCACCTCCAGTAGAAGCCCTCCACCCATAAGAAATTAGTCCCCCTTTTTCTTTCTCTTCACAACTTCTAGCAAATACTAATCTCTTTTTTGATGCTATGGATAGGCTGATACTGGATATTTCATGTAAATGGGATTACATGATATGTGGCTTGTTGTGACAATTTCCTTCTCTTGTTGTAAAGTCCTTGAGATTCACTCACTCTTTTACATGTATTAGCACTTCATTCATCTTTATTGCCAATACTATACTTTCCCATCGTATGGATACTTAACAGTTTGTTCATCTGTTTATCCTTGATGGATATTTGGATTATTTTTCCTTTGGGGGCCATTATGAAAATGTTGCGATGAACATTGATGTGCAGGATTTTATGGGGACATATGTTTTCATTTCTCTTGAGTGTATACCTGAGTAAAACTGGGAGACATATGGTTAACTCCATGTTTAACTTTTCCCAGAAGTCTACTTCTCTTACTTTGCTTTCCTTACTATTCATTCTCTGCCTCTTTGACTGTTTCTCTCTTACTTTGTTTAATCTCAAAAGTGTGACTGTGTCCCAAGTTGGTGATTCTTCCTCTCTTTATTCTCCTTATCAGCAATCTTATTAAACTTCCTGTGCCTGAACTTCCTGTCTCCTTTTTCAGAAATCTCTTGTCAGACTCATCATCTTCATCATACACGACATATGCAGTCTTTCTATATGCTATGTAGATCTTTTCTTGGTTTTCTAGAAAAAAGAAAAATAGTACTACCCTCTTCTTTACAAAACTGGGTATAATGCTTTTTTTTAGATCAACTATGAATAGACTTTTATCTCCTCCTTCCTCCCATCCCTGTTGTTCACTCTCTATAGCGTGGATGTTTTAAGCTATAGAGAGTCAAAAACATCTTAGAAGAAACATTAATTCTAGAATTTAAGATCTGTGTTGAGGTTATTTATTGGTGAAGTCCAACCCCATGGGTTCTTCGGACTTACTGTGAAATAAACTTCACTTAGAAAACATCGTCTGCAATCCATTGGTTTTGCGTCTGGGATGAACCCGGCAGTGAACCAGTAAGAAGGGAAGCTGGTAGAAAATAGCTTAAAATTCTTTTGTGTGTATCAGAGATTTTCAAATAAGATATTCTACCCAAACTGAATAAATTATAGCACTGTTCAAACTAGTTTTTTATTTGGGGTTGGGAGGACACAATCTGGTGGTACTCATGGTTTTACTCTGGCTCTGTATGCACTGGCATAGCTCTGGGGACCGTATGTGGTACCTGGGATCAAATTGTTGGTGGTAGTGTGCAAGGCAAGTGCCTTACCTACTGTGCCGTCTCTCCAACCTCGTTTCAATTTGTATAACATGGCTTTTCCCAAATGGGTTGATTTTAAAAGATGTAATTATTTTGACATCCTTTAATTGACTTTCTAATACTGCCTTTATATTTTGAAAATGTTTGGGTTCCTCTCTAAAGAGACGGTGTTGGGGATTTGAACCAGGGTCAGTAGGTTAACCCCTATGCTTTCTCTCCAGCCCATGATTCTGTTTTGTCTTGTTTTGTTTCCCCAGTTTCCATAGCAAGGCGTGTACAAGATCCATTAGCTGAGCTGGTGAAAATTGAGCCAAAGCACATTGGAGTTGGAATGTATCAGGTAAAGCAGTGTGGACCATTTAATTTATGAAATCCATTAATACAAAGAACAGTACTCAAAGTTTGCAATAGTAATTGTGAGTGGGGATAGATTCCTAATGTTTAGCTATGTACAGTTTGTGGGAAGGTAGTTAAAAGCCAGGGAAAGATGGACTTCCACTCCCCGCCCTGGTGTTCATGTTTTTGATCAGAAGTTATAATTGACTATAGTCATATAGTCATATTTAGTGATTAACAAACATCATCTCAGTATTTTCAATTGGAGCTTTCTGTTATACATCCACTATTATAAAACTGGTGTGAGTGTGGATCAAGGGCAATATGTTGACTTTCAAGTATGAACTGGTGATCTTCAGGAAGAAGAACCCTTTGGTTTATCTACTGTGGTTTTATTTGATTATTTTCCCATTCCTTCTTGATTACTGTAGTTAGTATTTGCTCTTCACCTTAGATGAGCTGAAACCTTTCCGTTATTGCTGCTGTACAGTAATAATAGCAGTGCTTGTGCTTGCTGTTGTTACCCTGTTTTCAATTCTTGAAGTTGTGTGTATTCCTCGGGCAATTGAGGACAGCACTAGATCTTGGCGAAGCAGATGCCTGGTCCAGAAACCTCAACTCAAATTATTTTCCTTTTTGTTGAAGTCTTTCTTACACATGAAATGGAATATTGCACTCTATAATTTTCATGGGATTTGAATGATAGGCATTGCACTTTTTCTAAAGATATTATATTAGGCCTTAGAGTCCACATCTGACCACTTAAAACAAAAGGGACCTTAGAAATCCTGCAACTACATCTCTTTTTACAGAGAAGGGAGCTAGGTCCTAAAATACCTTTAGCCCAGGGTCACACAGCAGCAAATCTTTCATACATTGGGGCTTAACTGGGAATTCTGCCATTCAACAAGAACAGCTGTATTTGACAGGATGAACTGTACTGTTTTTATGATAGGCATTGTAGTTGAGAAGAATTTTAGTTCTATTAATGCAGGATGAAGTTATGGACTGTCAATGAGGTGGTGGAAGAAATAGGGCCAGGCAGGCAGGCTAACAATCTACTGGCGTCCAAGGGGTCTTGTCAATAGCAGGAACCCAGTCCCCAGATTCCATTTCAGAGCGAGCTATTTTGCCAAAGAGTTTGGACTCCACTTTGACAGGTACTCAGTGGGAAAGTTTTAAGCAAGAGAATAAAATTGATCTCATTTCTAAACATTGCCCTCATTTCTCTGGGGATAATGACGTGGATGCAAAGAGGAGAAACAGTGAGATCAAATTAGAGTCTCTTCTGCTACATCAGTTGAAAGATGGATACAAATAATAGAAATGTAAAGAAATAAATTCTATTTTGTGGTGACTCCCTAGTAATAAGTGGGGGAGAGAGAGTTACCGAGAATTTATTCCAAAGTGACCTCTCCCATGGGCGGAGTATAAAGAAACAGTATCGATAACAGACCCCAAGAATAGCCTATAGGACTGAGTTTGCTAATTTTGGGGTTGGAGGTGATGAGTGAGTACCAAGACAGTGATGAAGGAAAGGAATGCGGATACCCTTCATATGATTCAGCGATGTTGTGTTCCTGAAACATTACTGTTAACAGTATTGTGAATCACAGTGCCTAAATAAAAAAAACTAAAAAAATAAAAATTAGTAAAAAGAGAATAGGCTTTAGTATGTGAGTGATGCCTAAGAAGAGCAGAATTCTTGGCAATATGACCTATTAAAATTTGAAATTCCAGTAAGAAGTTCAAGAAAAGTTATCAAAAGGGAGTCGAATGTAGTATATTCACAAGATATTGTGAAATAGTCATATTAATACTGGAGTCAGAATTTTTAGCAAGTGATGATATTTGTGATACAACTGCAGAAGTGATCAAAATGGTAGAATGAGCTGGCCATGTTCTTTGAATACACTGCTAACCACCACAGCACATCCACAATTCCCAAGCTGAACACACACACAGGTCCACTAACCCCTGAAAGATATTAAATAAGAGGAAACATGTTCGTAAAGAAATAAGACGTGGTGCGACCACTGAGAATATACAGATCAGTGGTGCCCAGTGAAGTCGCGGAGGCTGTGCGTGTGGCACAAGTAGGAGGGGCACACGGTGACTAGACCCCCACAGACCTCTGCTCGATGGGCTGTGACTCAAAGCTCTGAGTCTGACTCAGAAGCCAGCAAGGCAGGGGGTGTTGTGAGTAATCTTTCATGATCAGGAAACTCAAAAAACCTTATCCTGAGAAGACAAACTTTATAAGTAGCAAGTGACATCATATTCCACACAGCCTGCATCATCACAATAATATCACCTATATTTGCCATAGCTGATGATAAGTCACTGTCACTGTCACTGTCCTCCCGTTGTTCATCAATTTGCTCGAGCGGGCCCAGTAACGTCTTCATTTTGAGACTTTTTGTTAACCGTGTTTGGCATATTGAATACATCACGGGTGGCTTACCAGGCTCTGCTGCACGGGCAAGATACTCTTGGTAGCTTGCCGGGCTCTCCGAGAGGGGCGGAGGACTCGAACCTGGCTCAGCCGGACTGGCTGAGCGCAAGGCAAATGCCCTACCGCTGTGCTGTCACTCCAGCCCATGATAAGTAGAAATAGCAAGCAAATAGGAACTCCGGAAGGATCTAATGCCAAGAAAAATAACATTTCAGGAAAACTTTGAACAATGCAGCACTAATCAGTCAATAAAAAATAGCACCCATTGAAAGAAGAGGCAATAGATTTTTATATAGATAAAATTAATATTGACACAAAGATAAAAAATAACTGCTGTCACTGTCACTGTCCTTCTGTTGTTCATCGATTTGCTCGAGTGGGCCCATTAATGTCACCATTTTGAGACTTGTTGTTACTATGTTTGGCATATTTAATACGTCACAGGTAGCTTGGCAGGCGAGATACTCTTGGTAGCTTGCCTGGCTCTCCGAGAGGGGTGGAAGAATCAAACCCGGCTTGGCTGGGCTGACTATGCGCAAGGCAAATGCTCTACTATTGTGCTATCGCTCAGTAAACAAATATTGGAGCTTAAAAATACAGCTGTCGGGGCTGGAATGATAGCACAGTGGGTAGGGCATTTGCCTAGCACGCGGCCTACCCAGGTTCGATTCCCAGCATCCCATATGGTCCCCTGAGCACTGCCAGGAGTAATTCCTGAGTGCAGAGCCAGGAGTAACCCCTGTATATCGCCAGGTGTGACCCAAAAAGCAAAAAAAAAAAAAAAATACAGTTGTCAAGGTAAAAGGAATTCTGATTGAACGAGTCTATGTAACTAAAAGTAAATCTCAGTGAATTAGAAGTTTGAACTAAGATTCCTTAGAAACTATAAAGGGTAGAAATTGTAATTGTGTAATGCAGAGGATATTCTAAAACTTCAACATTCATCCAGTATAAGATTCAAATAAAATGACTAGAGAGGAGTTATAGTGACAGAAATGGGAATTACCTCCAAACTGAAGACAGTCTTTTGAAAAGGTCTAATTGCAAATAAAAATATATAACAAAAGGTCTATACTCAAATGCTTTGACATGCAGTCTCGGAATGCCAGTGACTAAGAGGAACAGAGTAAAAAGCTTCCCCAAAGCATATATAGTTTAACAAAATGTTAATCAGATCGACATCAAGTAAGGAATGATAGAGATGCAGTTGTTTCAAAGTTGGTGAAAAATTTATTATAAGCCCATGATTCTAAACAAGCAATTCACTGTGAGAAGAAATAAAAATATTTTGGACTTGCAGTGATACAACTTCACTGATTTTTGCTGACTTTCTTTGGAAGAATTATTTGTGGAAATACACATATTGTAGTTTCTCTTCAGATGACATAAATCTTTCACCTTTTACCAAAAACAATGGGGGCGGGGGGTGAGAATTCTAGGGAAATAAAAGACTTGTTGGGAGGTAATGGTCTGATGGTAAGAAACCCAGGTTAACTATCTAGTACACGATTCCTGAATAAGTGTATGTTGTATCTGATCATTCCTTTTCTTTTGTTTGGGGGTCATATCCAGTGGTGCTCAGGGTCTACTTGGGCCTGTTGCTGGGATGCCTCTCAGTGCAGTTGATCAGAGCCGGGCCTTCTGTTCACAGAGCTTGCAAACTAGCCCTGGACTTATCCCCCTGCATACTAGCTCTTGGAGTTGTCCCCTTGGTAGTATTTTTTTCAATATGCAAGGTTAACCTTTCTATTAAGACTATTTTATGTTTGTTCTCTTGATTTATCATTGGTTTATTGTACTGTGGCTTCAGGGGTCAGGCTTCATGCCTTGATATGTGGGTCACTGCTACCCCTTCCCACAACTAAATTATCATCTCCACCATTCACCGGAAATGCACTCATCCTTCTCCTGCCTGTGCTCGTCTCTCTGGCAACATCTGTTGTTTATACTGAACCTAAAATGTTTGGCTTTTTTCCCCCCCAATTCATTTTTATTATTATTTTTTTTTACTTATTTTTGGATTTGGGATCAACCCTACAGTTCCAAAGGGCTGATTCCTGGCTAGTGTTCAGTCATCACTCCTGGGCATGCTCAGGGGATCCTGTGCAGTGCCAAAGGATTGAACTGGGGGTGTGCATGCAACACAAGATCCTTGCAGCCCAACTCCTCTATTATTTATCCAGCTTCATTTTGTTTATTTAGTAATTCAGATTCCACTTAGGAGTGATGCCATCTGACTTCTTTTCCTTCTCCTTTCTTCCTTACATTACAAAGCATTATTCACCTCAGTTCCACCCATGTTGTTTCAGAGGGCAGGATTTCATCTTGTTCAGTGGCATGTAATATTCCATTGAGTATATCGATCTCAGCTACTTTATCCATTCACCTGTTGATGTGGCATTTAGGTTGAGTCCATGCTTTAGATATTCTCAACGGTACTCCTGTGAACACATGGGGTATAAATATTCTTTCAAATTAAGTGTTTGATAAATGTCTAGGCAGGATGTTGCTGAATCATTTAACATTTACTTTCTGTGGTGGGGGCACTT